GGGTGGTAATTGAAATTTTTTTTTCAAGGGTTGAAATAATTTTTAAGATCAAGATTAACCGTTTTGGTGGAAAATAATAGAAATTGCCTTAAGGCTCGTTCATATCCGTTCTACCAACCCAAAGCCACTAACAACAGACAGGGTTGGGCGTCCCATTGCGAATGTTAAGGGCTGCCACCGAGTAACCGCAGTCGGGTTGCGAGGGTGTGTGTAATAGTGGTTAGACGGTGTATATATAGTTATAGGGTGGTGGACGTTCAACCCCTGTTGGAGGGTGGCCCCTGCGTTATGTATAGAGAGCCACCCTGACAAGCTAGGGTATAAGTGTATCGGTGAAGGGGTGCGCGAACAATGCGCTCATTCAATGCGCTCTAGATATGATTACCGGAAACCATCCCATAATTACTTTTTGTACTTTGTCGCTGGTCTCGATTTTGCAACGGTTTTTTTCTCTCTTTTTTTTTTCGTGTTTTGCGGCTCATTTTATTACGTCTTTTTTTTCGAATAACATTTTTGAGCCAATTTCAAATATCGTGCGTCATTCGTATATATACGCGATAACGTGAGAATGCGTGTTTTTTGGTAATCCGAGTTTTGTATGAAATTGAGAAAAAAACTTTTTTGAAAAATAAATTATTTACAGTATCCCTCTGTGATAGACGGATATACGATCCACCAGTTACTTACACGAGAAGGAAGAATGCTGTAGAAATAATTTGAAATCGTTCTGTTTCGAATATTAAAATTTTTTCTTAAAAAAGAAAAAAAATATAAGTACCGATATTACGACGGCCTTACGTTTCATAATCTTGGCGTACGTCTTTGATAGGTTTATTACCGAACACTCTTTACATTTTTGTGTGCAGAAAATACTAGGAGGGATTTACAAGTGGTGCTCAGCCACCCCAAGTCATTACCGTCGATTTCGACAGATAAAATAATTAGTGGCAAAAAAATTTTACAAAATTCAAAACTCTCAATCCCTCAAAAAGAATACAAAAATTTGCCTAGTCAAACTAGTAAAAATTAATAAAATATTTGTAACAATCTTGAACCCTCTCCTCCACACCCCAATCAGAGAACCACTGTGTATCCTCAGAGGTGCTGTAACAAAGTGTAGCATTGTAGGTTGGTAGGTAGCTAAGTAAAAGTATAGGTAAGGTAGATACCTATATTATGAGTGTGTTCATATTTCCTGTGTTGGCAACCTCTCTTCCATCCCTTATCTCCTTTCTCCCCAGAGCCCTTTTGTTCGCACTCTTTCGACTGTTAATGCCGCGAAATTAACTCCGAGAGAGAGTTTAAGAACTGCTAGTGGATCTACCTACGCCTTGACGAGGGGTTGCGCGGGGGGTTGGAATACCGGGGGGTGGCTCCTATTGTCCTGCCAAGGTATTATTTTAACATTATCAGTACCCGGGCGCGTTTAATTAATTTATTTATGAACCGCGAGGTTGGATTTGTCTCTTGAGGTTCAACCCTTGTCTTGGGGGGGTGGTTTTCTCTGGGCCACGCGAAATCTTTCTTTCTCACTCTCCGAAGAATCTCTTAATAACTTACTCCTTTATTATCCACCCTTATCACCGAGAAACTTCTCTTGGTTCGCTTGGCTAGATTCTCAGGGTGACGTCAAGGGTAGCCATTTAAATGTATTTACTCAAAAAAAATTTTTTTTTTTAATGAGAAAAGGATTTTCGTCGTGCCTCAACGTAATTTTTTTCTTGTTGGGGTGGCTTTTTGGGGGATGAAAATATTTCCGTTATCTTACCCTTCGATTGGGTAATAAATCAGACGGTCTTCTGGAAGAAGGGACTGAACTTTGGGACCCTTGAGGCATTTGCATAGGGGAGACTGACCCTTGCACTTTGGGACTCTTCTGCTACCGGTCAGTTGTCCGGCATAGGGGATGATCACCTGTCCCACGATTAGCCGGGGTCAAGATTCTATTGGGCACCCCTAAGAAGCTACCCTGTTATGTTATGTTACTGGTGCTACTGGTGGTAGCACTGCTCTTAGCATTTCTATACGAGTTTACGA